ATTGTACAAACAATCTACAAATTAGAAAAGATTTTTCGTTTAGGTTTCTTTGATTTTATGGAGCATTTGTCGATTCACTTGCTTAACAAGGCAAAAATTGGTGGACTTGTTCATTATTGATGGATGTGTCCGTTTAAGAGGTAATATATTTAAGTTGTTAGACATTAATGATGACTAGGTTTCTTCTTCGTCTCAAGAAAAAATGCACTAATTGGGCATTTGTTGAAGCATCTATATGTAAGGTATATGTTATCGAGGAGATATGTACTTGTTGCTCATTATATTTTGCTCCAAATATGCCAATAAGATTGAATTGAGTTTCACATAATAATGATGGGGGAGTCATGGAATCTAGAGGATGCTTTTCGGTATTCACTCATCCTGACTAAATATTAGGTCTATAAGATAAGTCTTGATGGCTATCAATATATGAGCATACCAAGGCACAATTATATGTTATATTAAATTGTAAAAAGATAAATCCTTACATTGAGTAAGTACTATGTCAACTCTATAATGTATGTTTCTAGTCAGTTGACAATTTTTCTAATTCATAATTTACAATTATATAATATTTGATGACTTAATAAGAAGATAATTTATGAATATAAGTGATGTGAAATTAGAGAAAGCATGTGATGCAAGATTTTCGCAATGGTTAAGTTTAGAGCATAACAATACTATGTCAACTCTATAATATATGTTTTTAGTAAGTTGACAATTTTTCTAACTCGTAATTTACAATTAAAGGATATTTGATGACTCGATCAGAAGAGAATTTGTGAATGTAAATGATGCAAAATTGGAGAAAGCATGTGATGCAGGATTTTCGCAATGGTTAAGACAATTTGTAAGTTTAGAGCATAATAGCATATATGAATAGAATTATATTTTCATATATTTAAAAACAATGATCAATTTTAATGTTTTACAATTGGATTAGTTGAAGAGCAAAATGGCAAAATTGATTGTTGTTTAGTTGAGATAACTTATTGCTTCAACGCATGGTTAGGTGTTTCAAAGGTTATTTTGTGAATAGTCTTAAGTTTCATACAGTTAACTATGCTCGAACTAGAAAAATGATGAATTATAGGGTATGTGTGAAAAAAAAGTCGTTATAATGATTATGAGTGTGACTTTTATGGTATCTTAGAATATATCATTAGGTTAGAGTACTTTGGAGTAAGGAATAAAGTTGTATTTTTTAAATGTCATTGGTTTAACACGGAGAATAGGGTAAGGATAGATCTCCAACATAGTCTTGTTGAAATTAAATACAATTCAATGCAATTAACGATGAACCATTTGTCTTAATCTTGCAAGTATATAAAGTTTCCTATACAAGCTATCCTTTTAGAATAAAAAAACAATATGATTGGTGGGTAGTCTTAAAAAAAGGTTAAAAGTATACTTTAGCTAAGTAATATTGATAAAGATGAAGAACAAACAACTAATTTAAATGAAAATGTGTACCAAGAAGTTGAAGTTTCTATTCCATGAAATATTACTATCTGAGAAGAAGTTGATTATCATACAATTCTTATTACTGGTGATTATGAAAAGATAGATTATGAACAAACAATTCGAGCAAAAGAACAAAATGATGTTGATAATGATGATGATAAAGATGATAATCATGATGATGATGATAACATGAGTTTGCTTATTCTAGCAGTGATTAATGTATTTAGTGTAACTTTTAATGCTATATATAATGTTTATTTGATGTGGTCAATATATGTAACTTTAAATATAATTCTTGATTTGGCCTATTTTAACTATAATGTTTGATAGTTTATTTTTATATACTTTCTCATTTCATCTAAGTTTGCAATACTAAAGTAATATTATATATGTAGGTTTTTTCTTTGTGCATTTGGAATACTTATGGAATGATTTTGTTCTATATGATACATATGATGGGACGTCATACAAAGAGCTCTATTCATTGAGGTGGTTTTATAATAAAATAGATGAGAGGTGATTCACGTATCGGGTCATCAGTAGTATCGATATAGCATGACCCATCATATGGGTCATCTTCAGCATCAATACAGCATGATCCATGATATGGGTCATCTTTAACACTGATACAGCATGATCCACCATGTGGGTCATCTTTCACATCAATGATAAATGATACATCAATCAAGCATGACATAATATCCATCATTCGCCAACAAACCACCACTTGGAGAAAAAAAAGGGACAACAACACGGCAGAGGATTGGAGGTAAACAAAGGCTTACAGATTGCTACAGATTCAAACAAGTGGCTGTGGATTACTTCGCTAGAAGAAAAATATGACATTTTTTTTACCGTTAATTTTTTATTGTTATTTTTTTTAAAATTCGTGCAATTTAATTAATCTTACTAACAAATAAATGTTAATAGTTGTTTTAAACAATTATCGGTTAGCTCAACAATTTCAAAAATAATTTAAGGGAATTTTTCTGGTCCTTGGCCAATATGGGGTAAAGTTCCTACGTCGGTGAAGAATTTGATGTTCAATAAATTTAAGGTAGTAATTAGATATTTATTTTTTGTATAGATTTAATTTATTTGATTGAAAAGTTCATATTCATGTCAACGACTTATTGTATTCCTATTTATTATGTGAGGAAAAATGTCAATGGACTTATCAAATGATGCTTCTATTCAATAGGCATGGAACAATATTTCCAAGAATCGATTGAAAGACTTGTTGTTCAGCAAGAGAGAATTGGTAATAAAAGAGCGTGGAGTTGAGAACATCATTCATTACGAAGGATGGAGTGGATGTGGATCATAGCTCTAATTTGGGTGCTTTTATAAAAATGTATGGAGCACTCCAAAATGACAAAACATCTCTGCCAAAGCCAAACAAAATTGTCAAACACAAAGAATGAAGTATTACAAAGCACATTGGTAGCTTGATTGCATTTCCTATTCATAAAAAGAGAATGGTGTGATTTTTTTCACGAGTTACTTTTATCATCAAATGTCAATTTATATAAATTATATTTTGACATATTTCATTGAAAGTCTCTAAATGAATCCAGTCACTTTGAGTTGCAACAAGAATCGATATTTATAAAAGTTTTTAATCGCACTCACAAACGTTCAGGAGGACATAGTGATTTTATTAATAACAAGTCCAAAGTTGTTAGTGTATGTGACTTTCCAATGACTTGTGCATACTTTCAAATTGCTACCTTACTTTATTGAAATAAATAATATCTCATATGTTTGAGATGTAAAGATTTTGTGAAAAGTGAAAAATGTTTCGTAACTTACTTTATGATCTGGTTGTATATTGTGATTGTTAATGAACTATCTTTATAGTATATTGTGATAAGATCATATTTATGATGGGTGAAAACTATTGCATATATATATTTTGTGATTCTAGTTGTTTATTGTGATTGTTGATAAAGTAAATAGTGTAGTATTTGAAAGCCTAATCATTGTAGGAAATTCGGTATTGAACTAAATAACATTTTGTGCTAATTGAGATGAGATCAAATTTATTAAAACTGAAAACTATTAAGTATTTTGTTTTGTGATTCTTGTTGTATATTATAGTTGTTAATGAAGTAAATAGTGTAACAATTAAAAGTCTAAATATTATAGAAAATTCAGTATTGAACTATTTTGTATTTTGTGCGTATTGAGATGCAAACTTTGGTAAAAGTGAAAACCAAAAAAATTGAGAAAAAAAAATTCCATACTGCACTCTTGCGTGAATAACGACTAGAATTGATGTGATATTATCAACTTTAATTACATGATATGATCAAATAAGGCGCCAACCAGGAGCTAAACAAACTTCTGTGACGCGCCAAGCGCGCGCCATAAATAGAGCAAGCTTGGGAATTTAGATTTTAGTCGTCCGATTCACTAGTTACGTTAGATTACCAATACATATTGAATGATAGGGGCACATAAGATCCTCGAATTAAAAAAAAAATTGACCAACATTCATAGAATCGCTCTCAAAAGGGACTAATACGGTTCATCAGGCTAGTTTTGGACGAGGGGACTAAATGATATAGGATCAAGCGGTTAATCTTAGTAGGTCATTGGGCTATAGGATCAAGCAGTTAAGCTTAGTAGGTCATTTGGCCCACCATATTCTATTATAACAAAGTGCGTTACCAGTTTATAACTTCGATATCAGAGGAATATACCAATGAAAAAGAAATCTGAGGAACATATGCAAATGTCTTGGGCGGAAGAGAGGAGAAAATATGGTCAACCATCCATCCATAATATTTCTGTTAGACTCCAAAGTGGAACACGAAAGGTTCCGAAGCAGCATCTATGTCACATAGCAATTGTATCGTGGTGTAGGCCAAATAAAAAAAAAAAAAATCACAACAGGCTTGCTATTGAGTCCAATACGGTTAAAAGATCTTTTGTCTCGTGGTAACCTACTCCAGTTCCCTTACGAAACTTTCATTATTGGTTTAACCACATACTTCACATGTTTTTAACCACTCACATTACATCATAATAAGAATCTACAACATACAAAAACCTTATTGTTGACAATCATTTACTCCGATGACAACTAAGATTCCTCCAACAATGAAATATCTCTCACCGGATAAATCCTTAACCCTTTCATCTCTTATTAAGACTACAAAATGTTCTTGTGAGTTATGACCAATATCACATCTATAAGCAGTGATTTCAAACTCAGAAATTACTCGTACTCTTGCAACTCTACGTAAAATAAGATTTGGATTTTTGGAGTGATAATGGGATAGTTGACAGATAAGTCACCCTTACTGCCACTCTACAAAACCATACATGAGATTTCGCCTCATATGGCCTCCTTGTTCAATTCTTTTGAAGTCATTGGGTCATTTTCCTCATTTGAGGATCTCCTCCCTTCTTCCACTTTGTCCCAAAGAGTAACTAGCATAAATTCAGTCAAGTTTTCATGTTCCAATTGAACACTTTTCATTTTTTATTATTTTGAACACTTTCAATTTTTTATTATTCTCAAAAGAGAATTTTTTTTTTTTTTTTTTTTTTTTTTTTTACCTTTGTCGCATGGCTACATATAGAGAAGACTGTACTCTAATTAGCAATTCACAGTAATGTACTGAAACCTTTTGTTCATGATTTCTTGTATAGACAATTTATTTTAGCACAGCAAGAAAAGCACATATAAATGAGAAAACAGCATAGCAAAATGCTTTTACTAGACTTATCATGCAGGCACAGCAAAACTCTCCTGCATCCATTGCGGCATATCCACCACCGCACATGGATCTGATTTCTCAAAATTAGCAACCTGCAAGAAAACCAGAAAATAAGAAAGTGATTAAAATGAAGGCGAATAATGATTGAGCGGATAAATCCCACCAAAGAGACTCCCCCATTGAGGATTTGGCATTTCTAACTTGGAGGTTCAGGTTGGATCTTGGGGAGAACAGGTGAAGTCTATAATATGGGGAGAGCTACCTAATTTTCTATAGCTCAACCTAATTTTACTTCCACATGTACCAAGAAAAACAAAAAAAGTCGATAAAAAGGAAAATGCCTAATGATATTTTTGACCGTCAAACTATTAAAAAAATGTCATTTTGGCCCCTCATCTTCTATAGCAGACAATTTAGTCCTCATGTTTTATTTTTTGTCAAATTAACCTGATTTGGAAGGAAGGCAGCATTTGAATTGCCCTGTGGATATGCCTCTGCAACTATTGCACATGTATCAGTCGACATGGCAGGTGAAATGTCAACAACTCTGGGGCAAAAAATAATTTACTTTTTATCCGTTGAAAAAAAAAAAACAGAACAATAATCACCAAAAAAAAAATTGTTAGGGATCTCGATCTCAATCTCATTCTCTCCGATGACACCTTTGAATTTTTCCGGTGAGATCTTGGCATTGAATCTGATCTCAACCTGATCCATAGCATCTCACTGACCTAGATCCAAATAACCATGGCTCAAGTTTCGTCTCTGGCCAAATACAAGCTAATTTTCTTAGGGGATCAATCCATCGAGAAGACCAATTTCATCACTCACTTCATGTACAATAAATTCAATAAAACCTACCAGGTATTTATTTCATATTATGCTATTCAATACTCCTTTATGTCAATTTTACGATCCCCTCTTTATTTTTCATTGGGTCCCAAATGCAAACTTTCTTAGCAATTTGGATCTAATTCCTTCTTCCTTTGATTCTTTATTTTCATTTTATATTATTTGATTATGATTCAGGTTCCCTATAGTTTTCTTGAGTTCCTTGGTTCTTTTAGATCCTATTATAAAAAAACCCACAGCTTCGAAAATGCTCAGTGCCCAATCCTTATTGCCTAATATTCGCCACCCGAGCTTCATAAGCTGAGCAACATACATGAAAAGGAATTACTGCTGAATCTTCACTGCCCAATCTTCATGAGCTGAGCGACAGACATGAAAAGGAAAAACAATCCCCATTTAGAGGAGAAGAATCAAAAAGGATTTCGTCGTCTCCACCAAATTCAAAACCTTCTCTGCCGGGTCAATAGCGGAGAGATCAGGGACGTTGGGCTTTTTGGTTTAGGGGTTTAATATGTTTAATAGTAGAAACCAAGCAGCAAGTCCTCTCTCACTCTCAACCCACATTGGCTTGCCTCTTCTCTAAACTTCAAGGCTTCTAAAAACCAAACAAAACCAGAAAGCTTTTTTATACAAACAACCTTCAATCATCTCACTTTTGGATGTTGAGATTTTTTAATGCTGAAAAAGACAAGATGAAAGTATATTGGGTTGGAGATGAAAACAAGGTGTGCAGTGATGTGGTTGCTTCATAGTGAGAGGTGAGAAGATTGGTGGCTACCAGAGGTGAGAGGAGAGAGGACTGAATCAACCGTCAACTGGTGCTTGGTGGCATCAGTAAGGATTGAGTAGAGGGGAGGTCAAGTGAAAGTAACGAGCGGCATTGAGAGGTGTTTAGGAAACTAGATTTAGATTTTAGGGATTCAGTAAAAAAGAAAGAATAAAAGATAAAAGGGCTAAAAGAGAGGGCTGAAAGGGTAATTATCTATTTTAAATATTTAATCATTTTAATTTTGGTTTTTTCAATCACTTCGTGTCTAAAAATTCAACACCAAAAACAGACCGCTAAAACCAAAGAAACCAAGAGCTAAACTGATTTAATCTCCTAAACCTGGAAACGCTGAACTGATTTAGTTAAAATGAGTGATTTAGATCGGTTTTGTCGGTTTAAACCAACTTATGCTCTCCCATACTCAGGTAGTGATTTTGAAGAAAAAATATTGTTTCTCCGGAGCTAGATTGCCAAATCATCAGCCATGTGGCTCTTACTTGGCACATGGAATGACACATGTGCAATGGATGCAAATGTGTAATCCACATAGCAATCCATGTGGCAACCCAAACGAAGACATTAGTCATGTGGCTTCAGTCCAAATTAGGCTAATTTGACCAAAAATATAAGCATGAGGACCAAATTGGCTCTAATAGAAAAAGAGGGATCAAAATGACCATTTTTTCATAGTTTAAGGGACAAAATTTTCATTATGTCAAAGGAAAACAAGTTAGACTCACCTTTTCAGTGCATTTGGGGCAATAATGATATTTATGCCAAAGGCAGTCCATTGAAGGGCAAAGGAAGCAGATTCCAAGCATAAAGGGCATCATGCATCCAACAACCGCTGCCAGACTAGGTTTAGATCTGAATTACAAATTAAATTTAAAGGTTTAATAACGGATTACAGTAATATAATCTTAATCATATTAAACTGAATGAAGCATATCATAGCAGGAATGAAATAACAGAAAAGCAGGCCATTCCATCGAGTTGCAAATATAGCATATTTTCCTCCGTTACCAGACAATGAACAACGAATTAAAAATTCGGGATTACATACCACAAAATTTTCAAAACTAAGACAGGACCTCAGCGAGAGAAGGCTCTTCTCAATAGAATCGATCCTCACAATATAAATAAACTAGACACGAGCAAGAAAACTCCACAACCACATCGTAACAATACAAGTAAATTCACTCTCAAGAAAAAACACATCAAAACAATACAAGTACATCCACTATTAAGAAAGACCCAGAAGTTTTTTTCCCTTTTCAAGCCACATAACTAACATAAAATCTAACAGAGAGATTGCAGACATGCTCTAATCGATCAACACAGTAAGGGCATCGGGAATAGGGGAATGAAAAGCAAGGGTAAATAGAAATACCTGACGAGGGTGAGTCCGGAATTACCACAGTAAGGGCAGTTAAAAGGAGCAGGGGTGTCCCGATACATGGTTTGCTGAATCGGAATTCCCTCTGGATCACCGTATATGGCTTTCGGCGGTATCATCCCCGCATGGTACGGATTCATCCCCACATAGTATGGGACTCCGACCACCGTCTGCTCCGTCTTCGACATTGCTTTTGTTTGGGGGGTTCGATTGGTGATCTCAGACGAAAAATATTCTTCCCCACTTAACGCAACAGAGAATTTGGAAAATTGTTATGAAAGGAAATAAATCTTACAGGTATTTTATAATGGGGGATTTACGGATCGCGTTTCCAAATGAAACCAATAACGGATTCATTCGTTTTCTACAAGAGGTTAGGGTTTACGGGGGTGCTGGGTCCAACCTGGTAATTGCCATTCCCCGATTTCCTCCATTTTTTTTACTTTAATAATATTTATTAGTGCAGTTTAACCTTTTGTTTTGTTTTTTTTTTTTTTTGAAAAGAACTATATTTTTTATATCTTATATATAATGAAATGTAAAAATTGGTATTAAAATGTATAATTTATACCTTACATTTTTAATCGTGGATTATGCTAATTCAAATTTTAATATTATTAATTTAATTTATCTGTGAAGTAGTAGTAAAATTTGTACCGCATGCATATGATGTAAAAGTGGTTATCCAACGCTGAATAATATTTGGATTAGGTCACTTTAGATTAGTTATTTTGAATCAAAAGAAAATTTAAATATTTTAGATTTGAATTATTTTGAATTTTAATAATATTGGATTTGAATTTTATTTTGAATTTGACATTTTGGTTACTCTAAGTTCAAGAGTTCATATTTGAATTCATTTTCAAAATAAAATTATCGAGTTTTAAAATTAAATTAGTTTAATTTTAAATTATTTTAAAAAAATTTATTTGATATATTACTAATAGATTTTTTTTAATTATACGAGATTAAAATTATAATATATGTTTTATTTTTTAAAATTAATTTTTTTAAAATATAAAAAACATGTATAGTTATTTCAATTTAAATTGAAAAATAAAAAAATGCCATTGTCATTGTATATGATAATTTTTGTATACATCAAATTAGTCATTTGAATCGTTTGAATTTAAATTTTTTTATTTAAGTTAAATCAAATTTGGGTTGTTGACTTTTTTATTCAAATCAAATTGAATAAGATTCAATCTTTGAAGGATTAAATCAACTTTTTGAGGTCAAGTCAACTTTAACTGTTTTTACGTCATGTGTTAAATCAAAATGTTAAATTTTTTGTGAATATTTCACGTAAATGCTTGCGGATACCGCATGCCATCTAATACCTGTTCGATCTTGCATATATATTTTATTGGTTCAATTGATAAAAAAAAATGCATATTTTTTAATGGTATTGAAAAAAATATTTATTATTTTACATGGCATACATGAAAGTTAATAATATTAGTCTAACGATATATATATATATATATATATAAACATGAGCTATAGTATTAAAATTTAAATTAGTATGATATATAATTTAAAAACACAAGTTTGAATTACATATTTTTTTCTCCAAGCTCGTTACTAAACGTATAATTAACTCTTTTCGATGAACATAATTAAAACACCATATTCCTTTAGTTAAAGAATTTTTTAATAATAAATAATGGATTCGGATAGTAGGAATTTTTTTATCAAGGAAATAACAACAACAGCATCAAGTTCCACTCCATGCTTAAAGCTATGATCAGTTTGGCCAGTATAAGGCCATCTTTGAGAGCCCAAAGTTCAGCAAAAATATTAGTGCAATGACCAATGAACCGGGCAGTACTAGCAATCCATTGGCCTTCATGGTTTCAAATGATGGCCCCTACTCCAGCTCTTCTAGGGTTTCCCTTCGAAGACCCATCAGTGTTCAACTTCAACCCTCCAACTGCAGGTGGCTTCCATTTAACTAGGATGAAAGATTCACAGGTGTTTCTATAAGTTCCTTGATTCATTGCAAAAAATTCCCCCGCCCTTTCAATCACCCGTTCGACGATGTTTTTGTTCCTTTCCTTTGTTTCAATCCAGATATCCCACATGATATGAATAAACAACAGACTTCAAGGAAAATACCATGGTACTGGGATCGTTTGTTATCCATGGCGATAATACGAATCCAGTCCTCAACATTACTACTGGGATTAACGTTAATAACATCACGTTCGCCCCACCATATTCTGCGCGTCCATTGACAATCTTTAAACAGATGCTGAATATCCTCGCACTCTTGATCGCAAAAGGCACATCCCCTTCAGACGTTCAAACCCCTGTGAAGAAGGAACATCTCTGTTGGCAGTATACCATGGGTGCATTGCCACACAAAGAACTACAGTTTGGGTAGGGTTTTTAGTTTCTAAATCCAGCTTCAGTCTTTATCCCTCATCCTACCATCGCTTCTTTTAATCAGATCGTATGCCGACTGTGTGGAGAAGTTTCCAATTTTAGAAGCAAACCAATAAGGTTTATCTTTGCTCTACTCAAACAGTTGCATAGGGATGGCTCGAATGGAGTCAGTAACAGATTTTGGCAACTAGAAGGAGATATTATTCTGTGATTGAAGAGCTTGAATGCCTTTTTGAACTTTGGCTACTTCTTCATTCTTATTGAGCGGTCCATAGATCAATGATCGGATGGTAACCCCTTCTAACCATTTATCGTACCAAAAGTTAGTACTCCTCCCATCATCGATCACCAAACCAGCCTCTTATCCAAAATGGGTTCCACCCATCTCATCGCTTTCCAGGTAACCGAGCATGATACTTTGGCCTTTTGAGCATTAGTGCTTGTAAGATACTTTGATTGCAGGGTTTTTGCCCAAAGGTCATCCTTTCGCTGCATGAACCACCAGATCAGCTTTGTTAACTGGGCTTGGTTTTGGACTTTTGCTTCCTTAAGTCCTAGCCCCGCTCTTGCTTACTTCGGTAACTTCGTTCCAGCTCAGCAGGTGGAATTTTTTTTTTTTTTGTTCCGTGTCTCCCCATAGGAAGTTTCTATTAATTTGTTTAAGTTCTTTGCCAATGCTAGTTGGGGGGGGGGGGAGAACGGCATTGCATGTAATACGATGGAATTGTTTTCATGACAGATTTTATGAGAAGGATTCTTCCCCCAGGTGAGATTAGCCCTGCTTTCCAACCAGCCAGCTTTGAACGAACCTTATCCACTGTAAACATATAGTCATGTTTATTAACACGACTTTCATGAAGAGGGAACCCCAAGTATCTACCAAGGTCAACAGTCTCATGGATGCCCAAAACATTGACCTTGCTTTCTCGATGCTCAGCCTTGGTATTGGCAGAAAAAGAAGGCTTGAGACTTTTCGATGTTAACTTTTTGTCCGGATTCCTTACAAAAGGAGGATAAGACCTCTTTCATTGCTGCAGCTGTTTTCCTATCTGCCTTCCCAAACAAAATCGAAATTGATGACAAAGATATACAACTCATTATAAGATTAATCAGAGAATTTGAGAGCTTAAAGAAGGTTAAAACCTTTCTTATGAAGCTCCATTCCCATCTATCATACGTCTTTTCTAAATCAAGCTTCACGGCCATTTGATCTCTTTGTGCTTTGCATCTTTTGAAGGAGTGTATCATTTCTTGCACGATAATGCAGTTGTCACATCCATTCCTACCTTGGATAAAGCTCATCTGGTAAAGGGAGATGATTCAATTTAACAATGGCCTACGCCTCTGAACAATGATCTTTGAAACCACTTTGTAGGATATGTTACAAAGGCTAATAGGTCGAAATTGATCAGTGCGAGTGGGGTTAGAGGTTTTTGGGATCAGAGATATGATGGTCTCATTTAGGGTTTTAAACATCATTAAGTTGGCAAAGATGTTCTTAATTGTTGAGCACAGCTTCTCTTTAACGATATGCCAGCATCTTTGATAGAAAAAAGGGTGTAGGCCATCCGGCCCAGGAGCTTTGAAGGCCTTGAATGTCCATATTGCCATGTGCATTTCAACATCAGATATAGATTTTTGTAGTTCAAGCTTCTCTTGGGCTGAGAGTTGCATAATACGCTTTGGCCCATTTTGGTACCTCCATGATCCAGAGATATGGGACGTTTTGTAGAGTTTCTTGAAGTGACTTAGCACGACTTGCTCCATATCTCTAGGTTCAACGAGCCACTGTCCTTCATCACCTTTGAGCCCCACAATTCGGTTATATCTTCTTCTAGCAATAGTTGAAGCATGGAAGAACCTTGTATTATGATCACCATCCGTAAACTAACTTATGGGAGATTTTAGGGCCTATATGTCTTCCAATGCTTTCAATATTTGCTTGTACTCATCAACCAGAGATTTTTGAAGGTCCAGAGGAATTGGTATGGGTGGTCAGTAAGCACTTTTTTTATCCCCCTAAGGCATACAAGCACTCTCTTTTTCTTTATGAACACATTCCCTTTGACAATCTTGTTCCTTTCTTGACTATATATTTTTTTTTTGAGTGCTTCAACAATAGAGACAAAAGATATATTGTCATGGCTCCAACTGGACTGAATCAGAGGTAAGAAACTTTGGTGGTCAAACCATATTTTCTGGAGCCTAAAAGGCTTTAAACCATGTCGGTGCATCTTGTGTTGAAAGGAAATTTGAATGGGGCAGTGGTCAGAATGTGTTTTTACCAAATGATTAACAGAAGCCTATGGATAAGCCAAACACCAGTTTGTATTAGCAAATGCCATATGTATCTGTTCCTGTGTGAGGTCCGTGAATTTGACCAACTGAACCTGGGTCCAACAAAGCCAAAAGAAGAGAGATTGCGCTTATTCAAGCATTCATAAAAGGTTCTAAACCTAGTAAGAGAAACTAGAGCTCCTTCTTTCTTATCCCCTGCCCTCAGAACTTCATTAAAATCCCCTACTACAAGCCAAGGGTAATTAAGGTGTGCAACCACAGTTTCTAAATATTTTGAAAGTAATTTACGTTCATTAAACCTAGGACTAGCATAGATAGCTGAAAGTAACCAAGTGAGGTTAGAATTTTTTACCCACACCATTGCATGGATCTCTTGTTCTGTGGCACAAACATCGCTTATATCCACCAGATCCGAACACTACAGTAGCCATAGTCCTTTTTTGAACCCAATTGTGACGCTATCATTCCACGCATCAAAGGGCAGTCGGTAAGTAATCAGTCTAAACTCATCAACCCGTGCTCGTGTCTCAATAATGACCATGATTTTAGGCCTGTGCATTCCTATCAGTTCCCTCAGCGTGCAGACAAAGTCAAGCGCCCCTACGTTCCACAGGATGATCAACTTGGGTTGAGATTGATTGGTTGTATTGCTCATCGACAGCCTTTGGAATTGGGGAACCACCTGCGTCTCACTCTGAGTCCAACCTTCTGTCATTCTCTTCAATTTAAGGTACATTTCCACTTTGTGCACCAGGGTCTCCTTCCTTAGCAAGATGGATGACCTGACGTAGATTCGAAATT